ACTCATCACTAAGCGTTTTGTCTGGCCCAACAGCAAGAAAGATCAGGTCAGGTTGCAAAGGACTGGCAGTGGCCACAGGCCAATCAAGAGTCCAGAATTCCTTCGGTGGTATGCTCACGAGTGTGCATCCACCTCTGCCAATAGGCCCGCACTTGCCTCCAGTGCCAACACGTTAAGGTCCACAGATACCAAATCATCATTATGTAAGGTCCCCAACCCCACAGAAGGTTTCCATCACGTACACTTCAAGGAGACGTCTACCTGCTCATATACTTAGATCGTTTCCTCCGATAGCCACAAGCCACCCCCATTGGACAACCGACTTCGGAATCAGCTGCCAAAGCATTTCTAACTGGTTGGATAAGTCAGTTTGGTTGCCCTGCTATTGTAAACACTGATTGCAGCTTTCACATTGAAGGTGCTTCACTGGTCTGTTGAACACATTCGGTTGTCGCCACATTAGAACAACTGCGCACCATCCACAAGCCAGCGGCTTGGTGGAACGTTTTCACTGCCAACTGAAAGCAGCTCTGCGAGCTCGAGATAATCTATCTTGGAGTGAATCTTTGCCAATGGTTTTGCTAAGTTTGCTTAGCACAGTCAGGGAAGAGATAAATGCCACCCCAACGGTTACACATTGCGTTTTCCAGGCGAAATGGTCGCCCCATCGCATCCTTCCAGTTTTGACTGTGGTGATTTCGTCAAGCGTATACGACATCACATGCGTCTTTTGGAGCTGACGCCACCACGAGACCAAACTATTCGCAGTTGCGTACCCAAATCTGTAGCAACCGCCGGCCATTTGTTCATCAGGGTAGACGGGGTTTTTTCAAATATGCAACCACCATATACAGACCAGTTCCGCATCCCCCAGAGGAAACCAAAGTATTATACGGTTCACATTAATGGTAGGAAGCAGACGATAGGCATAGATCGCCTAAAGCCGGCTATCGTCGAAGTAAATTCTTTCATCCCTACCTCCAATTCTTCTACGTGTCAAGTTCCTACACCCTCGTTGCCAGCATCTGAAACATCGGCGCCTCTTCCTGATTTCCCTTCTTTGGTCGCAACACCTACTTCAGCCGGTGATACTGATGGGCCCGTCACGAGGAGCTATCGAAGCGGCCGTACGCTGCGACAACCCGTTGGATTTAATGATTACATAGACTATATATACTTTGTAAAAAATCAACCTATTTCTAAGTGACGCGTTCTGTATGGTTCAACTTAACATGCACTTTTACAGTTATTGTTACTATGTTTCTTGTGTATATGCCACCGCACCAAACACGCAGCACCAAGCTTGAGGTGTACCGTGCGGTCGTACAGACACTGCTCCGCAAGGCGCACAAGTAGCCCTACGTTCTTAAGTTTTAGTTTCACATCGTACCCTGTACATTGCGCTCGATCGAATCTGATAACCGCTGGGCACCCCCGCGGTCCTTCCGCATTGGTCAACTACCCGCACTCGGAGCACCACCAACGTGGATCGTGCAGAGACCCGACTGTCTTTCTAACCAGAGGTTTGCTCGCTTTGGATCCCCAACAACCTCTCCATGGGTCAGCACACGACGGACAATCTCAGACAAAAGCAGTAAACAGGACCAACAACAACCTTGAATCGTCTCTGGAAGACCACGAATACAGGCCCTTATCCCTACCCGGAGTTGAGATCTTTGGCGACAAGCAACCGGACGGTGGGTGGGAAGCATGGAAAACGTCTTATGCCGGGTCCGTTACTTCCACACAATTCCAACTTGGTTGTCCAACGCAGCGTGCGACGCCACTGTATTTTACGTTCGAATATGATGCTTTAGTTTATGTCTTGTAGTGACACGCCACTTTCAACTTTCGTCTACGACTTCTTATCTACTCGTAACCACCTTTTGTTTTACCAGGTGCACCTTACCTGTTCACGCTCAATCGCGCAATTGTCACTTGTCCCGGTGAGTCACGTGGCATCGCTACACGTGCAAACCTTTCACTGCAGGTCTCGTCCTATAAACCGCTGGTTGTCTGTATTCTTACTCGTTCGGAGCAATTGTCGTATCGCTCGTTGGCGCACTCAGGATTGTTGAAGTAACGCGTTTAGTTGTCGTAGATAGTGTCGAGCTTTCTAAAGTCTCGCTATCTGCCTTCTATTTCATTTACGTTGGCCGTTGAGATCACCTGTTCTTACTGGGCATTTTTTGCAACTCGTCGAGTGTGTCCTGGGTCTATAAAATCGTTTGGATGAGCAACCAGGGATTTTAGTGGACGGAGTTGGTGCTTTCTCATAAAGATGATAGACATCGTAGTGACAATTTCGCCCCAGCTGATCACTCAAACGTCCACATGTTATGTTGGGGGAATGTCATAAATATTTCAGCGTATAACAGGAGTACATCTGGGTAGGAACAGCTTCTCATCAAGGCCAAAAGAAATTTCAAAGCTTTGTTACGAACTCGAGCACCACACTCCCTTGTGGGGTCGTCATTTTCGCTCGCCTGATGAACTTTACAGGATCCTCGGGGGTAGGAAAAACCGACAAAAAACCAACATCAATCAAAGTGCCATTGAGTGGCCATGTTGAAATGGGAACTCTAATAGTTGCACAATGTAGTGCGTATTGGACGCTGCGAACTTTGGCAAGAGATACTGATGAATGAGCATCGAGTACCGCCGGCATTCTGCGTTGGACAACCAAACCAGGCGATTGAATCGATTGGCAATGATTCTAAGCTCTCTTTGGAAAGTTTTCAGCAATCCAAACAAATATTTCTGAGACACACAAACTTATGGAGGGATCTGAAGCACAATAAAGGAAGTATGAAGCCAAGGCCTTGAAGGAATTTTCATTTGGTGTCGAAACATTCTGCCGTGTACCGTTTGAGAGACAATCAATTAAAAACTGCGCATTGTGTCCAATGCGCCCTAAAATGATGGTATGGCACGAGTGGAGAAAGCCAACGTGCCAGATGCAAACCACGAAAAGGAAGCAATGGTGATAACCAGGCTGGCAAAGCTTGGGAATGGACCGTGATAATTAAACGACTTACATATTGATCAACAGGCGAAATGCGCGTTCAATACATTTGTGCAAATATCTAAACACGCATGGTGGATAACAGCCATCGGAGATCCTTTCAGTTTAATACAAAAGTTGAAAACTTCCAGCATTTGGGCATCGCACTGCGCGCAACGTACACTGCTACCAGAGCTCAAAATTCGAACGACTTTAGATAAAAGTAACAACACTGGTGTCTCCAGTGTGTTGTAGGTGCCAGAATCAGGTTGGTGGGAAAAATAGAACTCCAGAGCCAACCTGAGGAATGCTCTCTCATCGGGAAGGAAAGAAGATCAAAGGCCAGCAGACGACATGTGAAGAAAGGAATGATTGAGAGCCAATTTTGGGACTTGGTATCCGTCATTTTGCAAGAACTCTTGGATTAGAGTGAAATATGCAGAACTCGACACAGGTTCAAAGCATGAAAAACAACAGGGAAATTCAGGAAAAAGTTGAGTACATGCTGCATAATGTTGACACTGAATGGTATTGATGATCAAGGTTGAGCAGGCGGTTAGGCAATCAGTCGCCGCCACTCGTTGCACAACGGACTTCAATGGGCTGAAAAATTCAATTAGGGAGTTTTCATCCGAAGTTGATTTGGAGAGACAAAAGCTCAACAACTGAGTGCACAAGCACAAATCTTTTGAAACAGATATTTTGTTCAAACGTACATCATTGGAAAGTGCAGAAAACTGTGATACCAACGAGTGTATGATACAACCGAGGGATTCGACTAACGGAAGGAAAACATCAGGCTTTCATCGAATAATATTATCCAAAAGTATCAAACGTAGGTTGGCCGATTATAATTTCGTGCAGACAGTTGTTACAAAAGAACGAACATCCGCCGGTGAACAGGGCATATTGCAATCAAAAGTGGCCTCGGAATTTTCTTTGAAAAAGCTGACTAATTCATTCTATAATCGATACATTTCCGAGAATTCCATAGTCATGCAGTAATATACAGGGCAGAGAACCTTTGCTGGAGAAATTTATAGATATGCTGTTGTGGTTAGCACTCGTATGCGTATCGGATTCCGTGTAGTAATAATCCAACCCAGAACTAAGACTCGCAACGAAATCAGAACACAGAACTGAACGACGGAATGAAATTGTAATAAGCGGAAATTCGGAATGTACGAGGATATCTTGTTTAATAAAACAAAGAGTTCATAGTTCATGAGCAATCACCACATCCGCCGCAGCTTGAATGAAGCTTCGGTTTTCTGTAATCACGGCGGGCTTGTTGAGTAATCGTTCAGATCTTCCGGGTTCTTCTGAACTGTCTTCGATATTTGTACCGGGATGTAATTCATCTGGAAAAGACTAAGGAATAAAAGGATTAGTAATTTCACAACTAGTATCAGGATTGGGCAAATTACAAATCACTTTGTCTACATGTCTGCGATGTACAGTGTCATCATCTAGATCCAATGTGCGACATACTCCTTGACCCATATGGTCTAGTACAATGCCCCTGGAGAATCGTAAATCGTTACCACGATGATACACGACTTCCGCAGACTCCAAGTGTAGAAGATTTGTTCGACGATTACCAATGCGTAATACTTGTTTAAGAGTAGACCACAGTAATCCACATGTATTCTTTGCCAAGACTCGGATGATACTGGCCACGGAGTCCATTTCGAAGGCTGTCTGTGAGTTTTGTGCACACATTCAGCACAGGGTTTAGCAACACGATTAAGATCATGATTCAATTCGGGCCACCAGCATATGAGACGAGCAAGAGATTTCATCCTTTCAATTCCGAGATGACGGGAATGTAAGTCATTGAGAACAGCAGTACGTAATGTCGAAGGTACGATAATGCGATCGTTGTAGCACAAGACACCATCACACGTCACAGAAATTTCCTCACGACGTTTATAGAAAGCCGGAAATCGACGCTTGATATCACCTCGCCAACCTCGACGGACACAGGAAATGATAGCGTAGTAATATTTCCTGGTCTCGCAAACCAGATCAGATCGGCTAACCGGGAGCGTTTGAGTGAGTAGATAATCACCCGTAGAAGCCCCCTCTGAAATGGCATAGAGTGATAGATTGCATGTGGAATGGATTGCGCGCTGCAATGATGGATATCGTGGGAATAGGCTAACAACGCAATACTCCACCGTTGTACCATGGCTGCAGATGACAGTCATGAGAAGTTGATGGTTGTAAATGAACTGCAGGGCTTCAAGATCGCTCACAAAAGTAAAATGAGTACCATAAAGATACTTGTGCATACACGTGACTGCCTAATAAACAGCTAGAGCTTCTCTTTGAGTTAGGGAATACCCACATTCGGCAGTCGTGAGTCTGCGTGAGATGCACAGCACTGGATGTCCGTTCTAATACAACACTGCTCCAATTCCAACGGGGATGCATCCGTGATGACCGTAGAATGTAATCGTGGGGAGAAAGGACGTAAAGCAGCACTGGTAGATAAAAAGGAAAGTAACTTCTTCAGGACACGTTCATGGACCGAAGTTCACTGAAGTGTTTGCTGACTGTAAATCGAATAATGGAGCCGCTTGGGTTGAAAAGTTAGGAATAAACGTAGACTAGTATTGTAAAGAACCGATCAAAGAACGAAGTTCATGGAATGACTTGGGAGATGGAGCACTAGTCAACAAAGAAATCGATTAGGGTTAGGACGGAATCCGGATTCATCAACCAAATAAACTAAACAAGGAAGTTTAGTCGTAACAAAGGCACATTCACCAGGGTTAATAGAAACATTATGAGAACAAAATCTTTCAGGCAAAGCACACAAGCGTTCTTCATGTAAGTGTCTGCATGGACAATATTATCGTCATGATAGGTACATACACTTTGTAAGCCGGAAATGGTAAAATTAATAGTAGTTTGAAAAATAGCCGGGGAGACACTGAGACCAAAAGGAAGAAAATTGTAGCGAAATAAACCAACAGGTCTGTTAATAGTTGTGAGTTCACGAGACTTTTCATCAACAGGACTTTGAAGAAATGTATATTTTAAGTCTAGAGTAGAGAAAAATTTGAATCCAGGAAGTTGGCGCAGAATGTCTTTTGGTTTGCCACATGCCGGGGAACCCAGACTGCTCCGGGTGACCCTAAAAGATGATAAGGACTTGGAGGACGTTCTTCTTTCTACTTACCTTATCAGAAAGAGTTCCTGCCCAAAAAGATTCTTCCTTGATAGGCCATGGACGGAACGAATGCAGCAAAAGTCCGATCCAATGAGAGCACGAGTGGAGGAAAACAAGAGGGTCGTACTTCTCTATGGTGTCCCGCAGTTGGACGATCCGGATGAACCAAAAGGTCATCAGAACGACCGAAAGGAATGGCGATTTATTCAAAATCTACTTGAGTGTAGAGACGTTTTGACAACTTCAATCACTCGTCTTCCCTGTTCACCACATTACCGTGGTAACGATCCGAGGATAATGAACGTTACCCTTGGAACTCCAGAAATGGCGAACACAGTCTTACAGTAATGACGGGAAAGAAGGAACAGAGGGCCTCCAGAACTACGCGTGAGACCCCTACTCAATCCCGGGCTCAAAACACCCAAATCTGGAGAACCCTTCTGATGCATTAGATTACACCATGCATGTACCGAATTCCGCCGCGCAACCCGTGGTCCAAAGCATCCGAGCTCCTCTGCCAAAAACCTAAAGGTAGCTGACCAAGAAGGGGTCTGCTGAGATACCACTTCCTATCCAAGCGGATTTCTACACAGACAGTATCTAAACTGTTTCTACTCTAATGCTCAAGGACTCCTCGGCAAATTTCCAGAGTTGAAGTTAAGTTTTATGTCTAGTCAATGGGATATTATTGCTGCAACAGAGACTTGGCTCACAACTGATATTTCGGACTCCGAATTGTCTTTGTCAGAGATGTCTCTACTCAGAAGCGGTCATCCTACCCGTGGTTATGGTGTTTTACTCTACTTCTGAAACAGTCTTGATTGTGAGCAAATCTACCCTCCCGTTTCGACACCGGACACTCTGTGGTGCAGGTTGAAGTTATTAAACATGATGATTGTTTGATTGGTGTAGTCTATCGTCCCCCATCATCCCCGGAGACGGCCAGTGAGACGCTTTTACTAACCATGTCACACATTTTTACACAAAAGTTCACCCGTGTTCTCCTCATGGGTGATTTTAACTGCCCCAATCTCAATAAATCAGCTACCGTCCGCCATGTTTTGAACATCATTTCAAACGGCTGATTGACTCCACTATACAACCATATGAAGGTGGCCACTAGGTTTCGCAACCTTCAATCATCATCCATACTGGATTCAGTGTTGACCAATGAGGAGCTGATGATAGAGTCTGTCAACGTGACTTCTCCCCTAGGACGTAGCGATCATGCGGCACTTACATTCAAATACGTCTGTTACGCATCGATTCAGGGGAAGGAAGGAAGTAACACGCGCAGATCTATAGACTACACACTGTTGAATAATTTGGCGCTCTCTGCTCCGTGGGTTTCTTATGACGAAGAAGGTAATCCGTTGGTCGCATGGAAGAAATTTACTGAAAATCTCACAAATGCAATAACATCCGTGACTAAAACTAGAGTAATCACCAAATCCGACATCCGGAATTCACCTATTCGAAGCCGCACAAGGAAATGGCTATTGTAGCAACATTCTTTTGATTTTCTATCGCCCTTCCCGTGATTAATGTAAAGACCCTATTTTGTTTTATTGTCCTCCTTTTCGAGAACTCTTATGACCTCGACCGTGACACAATTTCCGGTGAGTTGTATCGTGCGCTTGCTCTCTGTACAATTTCCGCTGCAGGTCACATACACGTCATACGCTCGTACTCGACTTCCTCCTCACTACGCGTTTGCCTGGGAAAACCTCATCATAAGCCCGAACGATTGAATACGTAGGAGCGTCATAGCTTCAGACCACTTGCAGTGCTAAATTGGTGAGCCCGTATATTTTTTGACGTTTTTTTAGCACCCATCGGCTGTAATTTTTCAGTGAGTCTAGTGCCCCGCACAATTATTTTAATTTTTTCGTTTTTTTTTCTGGCGTATACGGTTATTATCTATTTGACTCCGCCCTGCCGATTTCATCGCATTTACCATTTTCGTTTTCGGCGTACCCGTTTTGTCCATCTATTACTACGTCTTTCGGTACCAGTACCCTAAGATCCACGTTTATTCGGGCCTAATATTATTTATTTATTGATATACCTGATTTCCCACCATTGGTCAACATGTTCAACCCATACACTGAAGGAAAGGATCACAGCACTAGCGCACCAGGGGATGAGAAGAGCGTATCGGGTCTCCAAGCTCGTATACCGGAGTTTATTCCGGAAGACCCCGAATTTTGGCGGGCCCAGGTCGAAGCTCAATTTAAGCTCGCCAGGGTAACCAATCAATTAGCCGAGTTCACCCAGCTAGTTGGTTACCTACCTCGATCTATGGCCCCAGGGCTCCGCGACATTGTCTGTAATCCACCTGCAGACCGACCCTACGACGCCCTCCGCGATGCCATTCTGGGCAGATTTGGCATGCCTGTAGAATGCCGCCTGAAGCAACTTTTAGGTGGTTTACGTCTGGGAGACAACGGTCTCGACACTCCCACAAAACTTCTAAGTTACATGCAGGGCCAGGCTGCCAGCCTGAACGACGATGAAAACACCCTTGGCTTGTCCTGGCTACAAGTCGTGCCAAAGAGTTTGTCATCGATCCTCCAGTACTTTGGACAACGCTATACCCTAACGGA